TTTTTTTTTTTTTGAAACGGAGTCTTGCTCTTGTTGCCCAGGCTGGAGTGCAATGGCATGATCTCAGCTCACTGCAACCTCCACCTTCTGGTTTCCAGTGATTCTCCTGCATCAGCCTCCCAAGTAGCTGGGACTACAGGCATGAGCCACCACGTCTGGCTAATTTTTTTGTATTTTTAGTAGAGATGGGGTTTCACTATGTTGGCCAGGCTGGTCTCAAACTCCTGACCTCGTGATCCGCCCGCCCCAGCCTCCCAAAGCATTGGGATTACAGGCGTCAGCCACCACACCTGGCTCATTTTTAGTTTTTCTTACAGTCTGGACCTGTCGCACAGGCTGGAGTGCAGCGGCACCATCATAGCTCACTGCAGCCTGAACCTCCAGGGCTCAAGCCATCCTCCCACCTCAACCTCCCGAGTAGCTGGGACCACAGGTGCGCACCACGACGCCTGACTAATGTTTTAATTTTTCGTAGATAGGGGCCACGTTGCCCCGGCGCGTCTTGAACATCTGGGATGGAACCATCCTCCTTCCTCAACCTCCCAAGGTGCTGGGATTACAGGCATGAGCCACCGCCCGGCCCGGCCTGGAAGTTTTAAATTCCTGGGTTCCAGGACACCCAGCAGGCCGGGCAGGTGTGGGCTGCTGCCACAGGCAGGAGAGGGCACGGGCAGCAGGAGGCCGATGGACTGCAGTCTCCATCTTCTCACAGGCCTCCTGCTGCAGCCCAGCCCGGGCCAGGCCTTCCTCCCCTCCTCCCCTCCCTGGGGACGTGGCCAGGCCAGGCTGCAGTGTGAGGTCAGAGGTCACCCCGCCCCCAGCCTGGCTCCTGGAATGAGGACAGACCAATTGTGTTGGAGCAGAGGGACAGAAGCCACACTTCGCGGGCGTCTCCAGACCACCCGCTGGCCCCGGATCGGATCTCATTGGTGCCAGCTGGAGGTTGGGGGGTGGGTAGCCAGGGAGGGGAAACTGAGGTACAGAGGCAGGAACGTTCCCCTCGGGGTGTGAGGCCCTCATTCTCCATCCCCTGCACATTTGTGGAGCACTGCCAGTTTGCAGGCACTGACGAACCCAGCTGCCCCGTGCCGGCCCCACAGACCCATCCAGCAGTTCCAGCCGGCAGCGACATCATTACCTGTGCCAGTGGGACAGCAGCAGCCGGCTCCAGTAGCCCTCTGCTTTTGGAAGCCTCTCGGGCGCCGCCTCTCCAGGCTGGGCTCTTAGCCAGCTCCAAAAATCTGCTAGCAGTGGACGGTTTGAGTTTCACCTCCGGGAGCCTCCCGCCCTCCTAGCAAGCACCTAGCAGGCAGCCCAGGGAGGCGGCTGGGCTCTGAGAGGCTAGGGGGTGGCTAGGCCCTTCCTGGGCTGGGGAGGAGGTGGGGGGCTGAGTCCCTGGCTGGGGAGGAGGT